GCGCAAGATGAAATCCTTCCAAAACCTTAGTTTTCGTAGCGATTTTAACATAAAAACATGAAGAAACCAATGTTTTTTTTCAAAAAAAAGTTTCAAACATTCATCTTGCGCGCTCTTGCGGATTTCTGAGGAAACCCAATAATTGTTCAACATTTCTGTCAAACGGGCTCTTGCGAGCAACTTTTTCACGTGCTTCGAACTTCTGCCCCCACGGTTGCGCGCATGTCAGGGCCATCATCCCTGTCAAATAATACCATATTGGACACATTCGTTTTTTCTTCGCGCGCGCACGCCGTCGTCGTCGGCCGCGGGGCCCTGAATAGTAGCCACGGTCGTCCGCATGCCACGAAGTGAAGTGTCCGAACGTCATAGGGCGGGAAGCTGGGTGTGGGTGGTGGCGAAGAGTCGTATGGAAATTTGGTAGAGCTTGAACCGGCCCCCCCACAAAGTGGGGGTATTGCCCGCCTCCTATGAAAACCCTGGCACTGGTGAGAACGGAGTGTCCCCAGTCTTAAATAATTGTTGTTGTTGTTGTTGTTGTTGTTAATGTTGTTGTTGTTGTTGTTGTTGTTGTTGTTGTTGTTGTTGTTGTTGTTGTTGAACATTATTTATTTTAAAGAATAATTATTGTTGGGCCCCCTGGTGCGCGCCCCCCCTGCGCCGCCTAGGCCGCAGCTACATTTTCATCATTTTCGTGAGGAAGCCTCAGGTAAAACGATGTGATCCAGATCCGGTTGTTTTGTTGTAATCCGTTTTCCCTTGCAAAAAACACTATAAAATGACATTTCTTGTTCTAATATAATCAAATTTCAAGAATCCCTTGCAAAAAATAAGGTAAAGTGGACATTCGCGCGCGCAAGACGAAATCCTTCCAAAAGCTTAGTGTTCGAGCGATTTTAACATAAAAACATCAAAAAACCAATGGTTTTTCAACAAAAAAATGTCAAAATCTCATCCCGCGCGCTCTTGCGGATTCGTAGGAAACCCAACACTTTTTTAAACATTTCTGTCAAACGGGCTTTTGCGAGCAACTTTTTCGAACTTCTGCGACAACGGTTGCGCACCTGCCAGGGCCATCATCCCTGTCAAATAATACCATGCGGGACACATTGTTTTTTCTTCGCGCGCGCACGCCGTCGTCGTCGGCCGCGGGGCCCTGAATAGTAGCCACGGTCGTCCGCATGCCACGAAGTGAAGTGTCCGAACGTCATAGGGCGGGAAGCTGGGTGTGGGTGGTGGCGAAGAGTCGTTTGGAAATTTGGTAGAGCTTGAACCGGCCCCCCCACAAAGTGGGGGTATTGCCCGCCTCCTATGAAAACCCTGGCACTGGTGAGAACGGAGTGTCCCCAGTCTTAAATGATTGAACATTATTTATTCTAAAGAATAATTATTGTTGGGCCCCCTGGTGCGCGCCCCCCCTGCGCCCGCCTAGGCCGCAGCTACATTTTCATCATTTTCGTGAGGAAGCCTCAGGTAAAACGGGTGATCCAGATCCGGTTGTTTTGTTGTAATCCGCTTTCCCTTGCAAAAAACAATATAAAATGACATTTCTTGTTCTAATATAATCAAATTTCAAGAATCCCTTGCAAAAAATAAGGTAAAGTGGACATTCGCGCGCGCAAGACGAAATCCTTCCAAAACCTTAGTGTTCGTAGCGATTTTAACATAAAAACATCAAAAAACCAATGGTTTTTCAACAAAAAAATGTCAAAATTTCATCCCGCGCGCTCTTGCGGATTCGTAGGAAACCCAACACTTTTTAAACATTTCTGTCAAACGGGCTTTTGCGAGCAACTTTTTCGAACTTCTGCAACAACGGTTGCGCACCTGCCAGGGCCATCATCCCTGTCAAATAATACCATGCGGGACACATTCGTTTTTTCTTCGCGCGCGCACGCCGTCGTCGTCGGCCGCGGGGCCCTGAATAGTAGCCACGGTCGTCCGCATGCCACGAAGTGAAGTGTCCGAACGTCATAGGGCGGGAAGCTGGGTGTGGGTGGTGGCGAAGAGTCGTTTGGAAATTTGGTAGAGCTTGAACCGGCCCCCCCACAAAGTGGGGGTATTGCCCGCCTCCTATGAAAACCCTGGCATTGGTGAGAACGGAGTGTCCCCACGTGCTAGTAATTGTTGTTGTTGTTGTTGTTGTTGTTGTTGTTGTTGTTGTTGTTGTTGCCGGTATACGCTACGGCCCCCATCGGGTTTTCTCGATCAGCGGGGCTTCCCGAGAGCAGGGGCAAGGGGCCTCCAGAGGGCCCAGAAAAGCCGGCGCGCCCAGCGCCGCCACCAGCGGCGCCCCACCCCGAAGGCGGCCCGAGGAGGAGGGGCGCGGAGGAGGAGGAACGTTGGGCAGGAGGAGGATGGAGGGAGGGAGGGAGGGGAGGAGGAGGAGGAGAAGCAGGAGGAGGAGGAGGAGGAGGAGGAGGAGAAGGACGGGGGGACGAACGGGGGGAGAGAGCAGGGGGGCCCAGACGGGGGAAGGGCAGAGGGGAAGGAGGACGGCGGAGGGAAAGGTAGGAGCAGAGGGAGAAAGGGGGGAGGAGGGAGGAGTGGGGATGGGCAGGAGGAGGGAAGAGAGGGGGGAGACGAGGGGGGAGACGAGGTGGGAGGAGGGAGGAGGAGGGAGGAGGGGGGATGGGCAGGAGGAGGAGGAGGAGAAAGAGGAGGAGGAGAAGGAGAAGGAGGAGGACAGGGAGCAGGGAGGAGTTCATTCCTGCATTGCTTCCTCGGCGTCGTCCCTGGCTCGCGGCGGCTGTCGCCGTTCTGCGCGGGCGAGCCGAGCGGGCGCCGTCGCTCGCGCAGGCGTTTCTGCGTCAGTTGCGGAAGCCTGCGCGTGCCAGCGGGTGGATGCATTGCAAGCTCGTTGTCAGCGTGGGCTTCGCGTTATTGTTGGCGGCCCGTTGGCGCGTTCCGCATTCGTCGTTCCAGTTTGCAGGCCGCGTCAATTGCGCGCCGCAGCGCGCGCGGCATGAGCCTTGGGCGCCGCTGGCATCGCTTGGATTGTTTCGCCCGCCCACGCGTTCCATCCATCAATCGATCATCCAGCCCTCTGTCTTCCCTCTGCGTGCATCCTTCCTCCTCTTTAGTCCGTCCATATTCGTCTCTTCGTTTCCGCTTCAGCTTTCACTCAGCATTATCCATCCATCCTCTTTCCGCCTCGCTCCTCCTCCCTCCTCCTTTCTCATCCCCCTGCATTTTCTAAGATGGTTCCGTATCCTCCTTTCCCCCTTTGCCTCTTTCTTCCCTCCTGCCTCCCCCCTCATCCCTCGTGCTTCCTCCCTTCCCCCTTGTCCTTCTTCTCCCACCTCCTTCGCCTATCCCTAGCCGCTCGCCCACTTCGCGAGTGCCCCCATCCCCGTCTGCGTCTGCCGAGTGGCCTGCCCCTTCCCCTTCCTCCCCCCCTTCCTCGTTCAAGCCAAGGAGTACTCTGGCAATCTCGCGCCGTGCCTCCACCGTGCCCGACCCAAATCTGACGAACACTTGCACGCGCGCGCGGGCCAGCTCCGACCCAGAACCTCCGAAACCACGCGACGCGTCGAAAGTTCGCGCAAGGCTCGAACATCTCACGGCCGACGTGACTCAACCCGCAAGGGCTGAGCAACTCTGCATCCCAACATCAAGCGAATTCACCCTGTGCCCGTCGTGACGAGACGCCCGCAGGTTCGGCGAAGCAGCGGCCCTCGCGTCGCGCGACGACGCCAGCCAGACAAGCGGCTAACTGACAGAACAACCTGACCGCGTAGACAATGACAGAACAACCTGACCGCGTAGACAACGCAGAGGCCCCAACCAGCACGTCGGTGTCACGACGAACTACGAAGGCCCGACACGTCACCATTACGCCGTCGTCGGCCAGGAAACACCACGCGAAAGACAGCGATGCAAGGTCGCAAACATCCAGCACGGCGTGCCGTAGGTGAGTGGCGTCGCGTGTTCCGTGGCCCAAAACTGTTGAGCCGATTCCGCGCGGCGCTCCGGCGAGAGCCACCTGTTTGAAGACCGCCCGCCATCCAGCCGTGAAGCGGCTGCAAGACGTCATGACCAGGGTGCGCGGCTGTGAGGCGAGAGCCACAGTTTGAAAGTGGCCTTCCCTCCATCCTTGAACTTTCTGAGCAATCTAAGCTTCAGGGTCATAAGTGGTGAGGAAGTCTCAGGCGAAACGCCCAGCCCGCCGTACCAACGCGTTTGAGGGTGACAGGATGGAGTGATTTTCTGGCGGGTGAAAATGGGGGGGGGGGGGCCTAAATGGGGGTTGAAGAAAAGGCCCTCAAGGGGTCCTTTTCCTCACCCCACCATTTAAGTCATTACCACCCACGCGAGAGGGCCAGCCCGACCTCAGACTTGCCGCGGCGATGCGCGCCTCTCTGGCGCGCGCGAGCGGAAGACTGCTCGACATTGGACTTCCCTTTCAGCCTTGTCCTTCTCCTCTTGCTCCTCGTCCTCATCCCCTCGTCCTACTATTCCTCCTTCTCCCCCCCTCGTCGTGAGCAAGACAATGCGTGCAACTATTTAATATTTGTATGAAAATCGAATGGAAGAGGAAGAGGACGACGACAACGACGAACGTTGTTGCGAGTAAGAGCGCAGGAAGAGGAGAAGGAGGACGAGGAGGAGGAGGAAGAGGGGAAGGAGGAAAGGGGGGGGGAGGAGGAGGAGGAGGAGGAGGAGGAGGAGGAGGAGGAGGAGGAGGAGGAGGAGGAGGAGGAGGAGGAGGAGGAGGAGATGAGGAGGAGGAGGAGGAGGAGGAGGAGGAGGAGGAGGGGAGGAGGAGGAGGAGGAGGAGGAGGGGAGGAGGAGGGAGGAGGAGGAAGAGGAGGAGGAGGAGGAGGAGGAGGAGGAGGAGGAGGGGAGGAGAACGAGCAGGAGGAGGAGGAGGAGGAGGAGGAGGAGGAGGAGGAGAAGGAGGAGGAGGAGGGGGAGGACGACGACGTCGACGTCGACGACGACGACGACGACGACGACGACGACGACGACGACGACGAGCGCGGCCTCGGCGAGCAGAGGTCACCGGCGTCTTCGTCCAGACGGCCCTGCAGAGCGCCCAGCACGAGGAGGACGGCCCGGCCGGCGGAGCCCTCGGGAACACGAGGGGGGGGGCAGGGGACACGAGGGGGAGGGCATGGGCCATGGGTCGGCGACTACAAAGGGTATGGTTACGTTGGGGTGTGGCTTGCAATCTGGGTCGGAGCCTGGGGGAGGGGAACGACACGAGCCTGGGGGAGGGGCACGACACTGTCCTCGTCGAGCCCTTCGGGGCGCGGCAGACAGCTCGATCGAGGTCCTCGCCAGCCCCACAGGGTGCCCCCCAGGGTGCCCTTTGTAAGCCAAACCCTATGCAAGCAACACCCTTCGAAATCGCCGAAAATGGGGGGGGAGAGGAGCTGAGGGCATCAGGCTTGCTTAGCGCTGTCGCGTGTGGGGGCAATTTTCACCACCCACCAAAGCATTCCAACCCAACCCAACCCGACGCCTAATTTTGCCCTCCATCTCCAGTGGGAGGGGGTTCGGGGAACAATGAAAAAAACACGTATGGAACCCGTACCGCCCCCCCCCACCAACCCAAAATTGGGATCTTCGGGTTAGGTTGTAGTAGTTTGGTGGGTAGTCAAATTTGTAGTGGCAGTGCGAATCCTTTCACTGTGCTGGCTGGGGCGTGGAAACACGTATATAGGGGCTGCGTGCCATGGAAAGACAAGTCGCCATGGGGGGAAACGGGTCCTGAGGGAAACGCTTCCTCAGGCTTTTCGCCGCTTTCGGGCTCTCGGGCCCCTCCACGGGCACCGGGGGCCGCCAGAAAACGTCTCCAGGGGGAAAAGCTCGTCCTGGGGGAAGGCATCCGGGTCCAGGGCCCGTTTCCCTCAGGACCCACGTCCCCCATGCCTGAGACGGCTCTGGGGCACTGTTTGTGGGTGGATCTCTCGAGCTCTCCGCCGCCTCTGGCGGTGCGCGTTGCGAGCAGGAACACGGCAAAAAGCCACAGGAAAGCGCGGCATTGAAGGTGTAGCTCCGCACACGTGACACATGTTAACGAGCAACAGCAAAAAACGCTCGGCTACGCGTGAGAGTGCCCCTCCAGTGGAGCGCCCTCTGGTGCGGGCCCACGGGGTTCCCCCCCGCGCTGGCCTGCGCGCTTGGAGCCGGCCCCCTCGCGGCCCCCCACAGCCGCGCAGCAAAGGTCACCTTTGGCTTGCTTGGGTCAAACGACGCGAAGATCGGGACAAAATCGGATCGGGATAACTCGAAATCTCTGAGAATCGGCGGGTTTGGAGGATGTATTGGGCGCCGCGGCCGCTCCAGAGCGTTCTGGAACGCTCTGAGAGCGCTCCGGAACGCTCTGGAGCGATTTCGATCCTAGCCCTGTTTTATTAGGGTTGACTCCCGCGTGCAGCCGACAGCGCTCCTCCAGGGAGGGGCATCGGTTCTCTGCCCTCCCCGCCGGTGCTCGGCGGCTTCTTCCGGTCTCGGGGTGCTCTCCCGCTGCTGCGCCTCGCCGAGGGCGAGTTCCAGGGGTGACCAGATCGTCCCGGAGAGCCGAGGCATGTGTGGGCATTGTGCCCTGAAGGGGTCAGATGAGGGGAGGAGGAGGAGGAGGAGGAGGAGGAGGAGGAGGAGGAGGAGGAGGAGAAGGAGGAGGAGGAGGAGGCGGAGGAGGAGGTGGAGGAGGAGGCGGAGGGGAAGGGGGAGGGGGAGGAGGACAAGCTAGGTGCGCTCGCGTCATATCTGACGTCCTACCCCTCCCTCCCATCCCTTACCATGGCGCTGATTTTCTCTATCCGCGGACGCGTGTCGTAGCGGACCTGTGGCTCCGCGCGCGCGTGCGTAGTGGGTGGTGGTGCACGTGCGTGCGTGCCTGCGTGTGTGCGTGGTTGTCGGGTGGTGGTGGTGGTGGTGTGGTGGTGGTGGTGGTGGTGGTGGTGGTGGTGGTGGTGGTGGTGGTGGTGGTGGTGGTGGTGGTGGTGGTGGTGGTGGTGGTGGTGGTGGTGGTGGTGGTGGTGGTGGTGGTGATGGTGGTGGTGGTGGTGCTGGTGGTGGTGGTGGTGCTGGTGGTGGTGGTGTTGGTACTGGTGCTGGTGCTGGTGGTGGTGGTGGTGGTGGTGGTGGTGGTGGTGGTGGTGGTGGTGGTGGCGGTGCGGCGCGGTGGTGGCGGGCGGATGGGCGCGCGAGAAAAGGCCCGCGCTGGGGCGAGAACGCCATCCTGAACGACGGAGGCCAAACACCGATCCGAAAATGAGGCCCACGCTGCAGCGGGAGCACGATTCGGAACGATTCGGGAGCAGAAATGAGGCCGGCGCCTCAACGAGAGCAGCATTTTGGGAAAAAATGACGCCGGCGCCTCAGCGAGAGTCGTTTCCCGGGATTTCCCGGGAATCCTGTGTGTAAAAAAACAGTACGCGGAGGGTGCGCGGCCATCACCCGGACGCCATCAGGGGAAGAGGGAGAGTATTTTCATATTGAGTAATTGTGGAGGAGGAGGAGGAGGAGGAGGAGGAGGAGGAGGAGGAGGGGGAGGAGGAGGAGGGGGAGGAGGAGGAGGAGGAAGGAGGAGGAGGAGGAGGAGGCAACGATTGTGGGGGAGGATAGGCATAGGGTGATGCATAGACCGCCAATCGCCCACTGATCGCCGAGGGGGGCCTGATAGCCCCACCCCGCCCAGGAAGGTGCGGCTTCGCCATCGGGGGCCCATCGCCGATCTATCGGCGATGCATCGCCTGTTCCAGGTCGATGCAGCCCCCTCATGCCAGTCCCCCCCTATCGCTGCCTGACCCGGATCCCAAAAGGAAGCGTCCTGGGGAAAGGTTCATCGGGGGCCTATCGCCGATCTGCAGGCGAGGTATCGCTTGTTCCAGGTCGATGCATCCCCCCTCATGCCAGTCCCCCCCCCCAGGGTCGCCTGACCCAAGTTCCAAGGGGAGACGCTACGCGGGGAAAGGTTCAGGGGGGGGGCGCACCTGCCCCCCCAGCGCCCACTGATCGCCGAGATGGTGAAGTCGGGCATGTCCCTCTGATCCTCAAGAGTGGTAGACAATCGTCGTGCGACGATGTCTCCAGTATGCTTTCACCGTGTCTGAGCTGTTGCTTGCCCATCTTTCATGTTTTTCTTCCACGATCCGCCTGTAGGAGGACATGCCCGACCTGGCGATGGGGTGAAGTCGGGCCTGTCCCCCTACAGGGGGATTTTCGACGAACAAAAAAAGATACCCCAACAATAATAAAGAAATAGTCCAAAAATAGTCTGGGGACTATTTTTAAATTATTGTTTGACCTTGTTGGGGTATGTTTGGAGGTATTTCTCATTTTTCCTCGGAAATCCCCCTGTAGGGGGACTCGCCCGACCTGGCGATCGGGGCCCGACAGCCCACCCCGCCCGGGCTCCGTGCGCGGGGGGTGCGCCACCCGGGGGGCCCCTCGCCGATCCCTCGGCGAGGCAGCTCGCCGGTTCCAGCTGGGCGCTTGTCCCCCCCCCCCCAGAGAGCCCGTCCTCCCCTGTACCTTGGACGCCCGAAATGGGTACGGAAAGAATGGGCACAGTGCCCAACAACAAGTGTTGTCCCAAAGCAACAGCGGCCGCTGTTGGGCAGGCGGCCCTCTGTCTCGAATGGGCACAGGCCGCGGCGGCGCGGACAGCGAGTCCTGTTCAAAATGAACAAGATCCGCTGTTGGGCATCGTACCCATTCTTTCCGTGCCCATTTCGTTCGTGCAGATGTACCGTGGCCCCTCCGGGCGTCCGTTCGAAGGGTGTTGTGGTCCTCGATCTTCTAGTCTCGAGCGGAGGCAGCGGCAACAACGACGACGACGACGACAGCGACGACGACGACGACGGCGGCGGCGGCGACGACGACGACATAGTCGACGACGTTGGCGGCGGCGACGACGACGTCGCGGGCGACGACGAGAACGGCGACCACGACGGCAATGGCGGCGACGACGCCAACGGCCAACGGCGGCGACAACGGCCACGACGACGACACGACGACGACGACGACGACGACGACGACGACGACGGCGAACCACGGCGAAGACGGCGATGGCGGCGGCGGCGACGAGCCGCTGCCGAGGGGGAAGCAGGGCAGGATGCCCGCTGCCCTCGCGTCGCGCGACGGGCGGTTTGGGGGCAGCTTGCCGCGGACCCTCACGGCCTTCGGGACTCTCCGCGGGAGCCTCCAGTGCCGGATGCCTCCTGAGATCTGGTCGCGCCCTTGCAGGCGTGTCCAGCCCCCTGACTCGGCCTACCCAGAGAGCGCTTGCCGTCCAGAGGAAGCGGTACACATATGTTGGCCGTGTTCGGGCTCCAGGGGCCAGCACCTGGCCACGGGGCCGTCAGAAACCGCTTCGGGCTGAAGAAGCGGTCTCGCGGAGAGGGCCCAGAGGTCCGGGGGGCCCACGCACCGAAATGAATCGGAACGGCTTCGCCGAGAGCCCCAAGGAGAGGCGAAGACGACGTCGAGGGGTGAAGAAGGGGGAGGCGGCTCCTCCTCCTCCTCCTCCTCCTCCTCCTCCTCCACAATTCTTGAATATGAATACTACTCTCCTCTCTCCCCTGAGTCTGTGGCGGAATTTGTCTCGGAGTGCTCGCCCCCCCTCGCGTATTGTTTTTTTCCGCAGAATGTCGGCGAGTTGGGTTGTCGCTTGTTTTCTTTCAAAATGCTGCTCTCGCTGAGGCACTGGCCTTATTTTCGGGCTTCCGCTCGTTCCGAATCGTGCTCTCGTTGCAGCGCTGGTTTCAATTCCGCGCTTCCGCTCATTCCAAATCGTGCTCCCGCTGCAGCGCTGGCCTTATTACCGCGCTTCCGCTCGTTCCGAATCGTGCTCCCGCTCCAGCGCTGGCGTCAGCGCCATGCCACGGCATGGTGTTTGGTCCTTCCAAATAGGACCCCAAACATCGAAAATGCCACCCCGAAGCAACCATCGGAAGTGATTACACGTTCGGTGCCGATTCGTTGATTTTTGGGGGCCGCAGAAGCCCCCCCCCCCACTGGGGCGTCAGGCTACGCGTTGGTCTTCCACAACTTGCTATGCCATGTAATGCTATGCCCTGCTGCGACATCCGACTGAGCGAATAGAGAGGAGATCTACGGCATGGTAAGGGATGGGAGGGGGGGTAGGACGTCAGATATGACGCGAGCGCACCTAGCTTGCTCTCCTCCCCCCCCCTCCTCCTCCTCCCCCTCCTCCTCCTCCTCCGCCTCCTCTTCCTCCTACCTCCCCCTTATTGCTCCCCGCCTCCTCCTCCTCCTCCTCTCCTCCTCCTCCTCCTCCTCCTCCTCCTCCTCCTCCTCCTCCTCCTCCTCCCCTCTGCTGCTCCTCCGTCATGCGGGGGGCCCCTTTCGGGCCCCACGGGAGGCCCCAGGGCCGGAGGCCTCCAGGGGCCTGTTGTGCTCCGTGCTGTGGTCGCGCCCTGTACGGGTCCATGCACCCCACGAGGCCCACGCGGACCTCCTCCCCCTGGTGAGAACATGCTAAGGGCAGCAGGAGGAGGAGGAGGAGGAGGAGGAGGAGGAGGAGGAGGAGGAGGAGGGAGAGGGGGAAGAGGAGGAGAAGGAGGAGAAGGAGGAGGAGGAGGAGGGGGAGCAGGAGAAGAAGGAGGAGGAGGAGGGAGGAGGAGGGGGAGGAGGAGGGGGAGGAGGAGGAGGAGGAGGAGGAGGAGGAGGGCTGCCGGTGCTTCTCGGCCCCCGGGGGCCCCGGGACTGCTCCGCAACGGCTCGGGGTGAAGAGCCATCCACAGGAGCAGGGTTAGCCAGTCTAGACTTGTGGTGATCCACGTTGGGGCAAAAATCGCGGCGTCGGAGATCTAGGGGGGTGAATCACCCTCATTCTTACGCTCGCCCCTTCGGCGTGCCGAATCTCGAACGACCCGACGTGCCCACGCAGACCTCCTCCCCCTGGTGAGAACATACGACGACCCAGGCCTCCGACATCTTGAACTATCAACGCAGCAGTTATAATCAAATAGCAAGGGAAGCCATACTTTTCCGCAGTTTGCGCCTCGGGGGGTTCTTCCAGGCCCTGGGGCCATCCACATTCAAGTTCTCCACGAAAACGTCTGGTCCCTGGGAGCAGATCGAAAGGTCCGGGGGGCCGCGGATTCAAAAGCTCGGTCCGCTGGACGTAAGAGTAATTACACGTCCCACCGCTGGCTCTGGTGCCGAGCCCATGGGGGAACAAAGCGGGGGTGGACATGCAGAGGAGGACGCAGAGGAGGAGGAGGAGGACGCAGAGGAGGAGGAGGAGGAGGAGGAGGAGGAGGAGGAGGAGGAGGAGGAGGAGGAGGAGGAGGAGGAGGAGGAGGAGGAGGAGGAGGAGGAGGAGGGAGGAGGGAGGAGGAGGAGGAGAGGAGGAGGAGGAGGAGGAGGAGGAGAGGAGGAGGAGGAGGAGGAGGAGGAGGAGGAGGAGGAGGAGGAGGAGGAGGAGGAGGAGGAGGAGGAGGAGGAGGAGGAGGAGGAGGAGGAGGGGGAGGCGGAGGAGGAGGAGGAGGAGGAGGAGGAGGAGGAGGAGGAGGAGGGGGAGGAGGGGGGAGGAGGAGGGGGAGGAGGAGGAGGAGGGGGGAGGGTACGCAGAGCACATGAGCGACGGAAGCAAACGCGGTCGCTTGCGCCGATACTCGCGCGCGCACGTTGCCCGCGTGTAAGGCCGCTCGTGAGTGGCCTCGTTTCCAATGTGTGGCGTGCCGTGCGCTGGCGGTTCGCGTAAGCTGCGGCGCAAGGCCGCCACGTCGTCTCGCAGAGCACCCGCTTCGGATCGACGCTCACATCCCAGACAGTATCGCGTCGTAAAAAAATCAGGACGGGAGGTTTGGGCTGCTTTCGGCCCCGGGGGGCCCTCGCCGGGCCTCGGGACCGCCAAAAAATAGCTCGGGACGAAAAACTGGTCCCGGGGAAAGGGTCGAGATTTCCAGGGACGCCGCCCTGAAAAAATCAGGACGTCGCATGTCTGGGATGTTTGAGGCGAAGGACGCGGCGAGAGAGGCGACTGCAGCGTGCCGGGGTGAGCGTAATCGTTGCCAGCGCACGAGCGGATTCCCAGGAAGTCTGCAGCCACGTCACGGGGCCGCCCCCAGACATGCGAAGTCATGTTTTTTTCAGGACGGCGTCCCTGGAAATCCCGACCTTTCCCCGGGACCGGTTTTTCGTCCCGAATTGTTTTTTGACCGTCCCGAGGCCCGGCGAGGGCCTCCCAGTGCTGAAAGTAGCCAACATCCGTCCGTCCTGATTTTTTCACGACTCGTGCATGTCTGGGTCGAAGTCGTGCATGCAGGACTCGTTCCTCACGGACCAGATCATATCACTGTTCCAGATGGCGAAAGGCGACAAAAGCGCCAGGACCGCACCGCAGTCTCGGCGCGCCTTGCGGACCGCAGACCCAAGGGGATGCTTCGGAGGCATGGCCCGCGAAGGAGGAGGGGGAGGGCAAGGCAGAAGCGATACTAGGAGCGAAGTCAGGATGGGGTAGTTATCAGAGAAGGGATTGACGCTCCGGCTGAGCTTGCCCGTCCCCCCCACCCCTTTTCCTCCCCATTCCCCCTCTCCCCCCCTTCCTCCTCCTCCTCCATCCTTTGTCGAGTCCTTGCTAAATAACTTTAAATAACACTCGTGCAGGGGATTTACGCATACGCTCTACACTGCACCTTAGCGGGTGCATTGACGTTGAGACCCCCTTTATGCGGATGTCATGTCCTGTCCTCCATTCGTGTTTCTCTCTTTGATGACTCTTCCCAGTCGCACCCCCAGACGCGTCGGTAGGGCGGGCCAGGCGTTTCGCCTGAGACTTCCTCACCGTCCATTTTTCCTGAAGCTTCACATGTGTAACAGTTTCACCGGTGTACGGCGGGTCGTTTTCAAAAGTGGCATTGGCGTCGAGCTTACGCACATTCCTTTTCGACGTTTGTAACATCTTCGATGGTAGAAAGTGGTTGATTTCCTAACTGTGGCTCGGGCTTCCGCGTTGCGCACATTCCTTGTTCAAAGCTTGCAGTTTGCAGCAGCTTCGAGGACGAATGATGGTTCCTTTCTAAACTGTGGCGTTTGCCTCAGCGCCGCTCACATTCGTGTTTAAAGTTGAAGACCTGCACATGGGTCGTATAGCTGTAGTTCCAGGAATGGTAGCGCGGTGTACGGTTGTCAGGAAGCGACAGTCCTTTTGATTCGCGGTGCCGACATCCCAGCAATGGTGTTTGGGCACGATGGAGGGTTGTGAGGATGCCACATTAACGTTGATCTGAGGCGTTGAAGTCCCAGGTATTGCGTTTTGCCGCGATCGAGGATTCGTTGAGTGTTGTCTTCTGATGGACCATTTCCCGACATGCAAGTAAAGCTTGCAGAGGTCTTTGAAGGAGTTTGGATGGAGGGTTGATTTGAACATCGTTGATGCGTCTTGGGTTTGCAGGTGTCCTCATCCTCCTCCTCCTCCTCCTCTTCCTTCAACCCTTCTTCCCCCTGTTCTGGCAGCACGTGCCTAACCTTCCGCACGGACCCAGGGGAGGGGGTGATACTTGCCCCATTAAGAGTAAGCACGGGTCGATCGTAACAGAGAAGGATGTAGATATTCGAAGGTCCGAGGAATCTGTTGGATCTGCGCAGGACCTCCCTTTGGCGGCGCCTCCGGCGCCGCCCCTAACCCATCTGCGCGTCAGGGAAACGGGTGTAGCGCCGATCCACGTGATCCGCACGTGATCCACGTGATGTTTGCGCCGTTTTGCTGCTTCTTCGAAGCGATAGGAAGGAGAAGGGGCAGAAGGAGGACGATTTGCACTCCCGCTTAGTCCCCCAAGGTGATAGGCGTTGGCGTGTTTGGTCGCACACGCACGTAAGGTACACGCTGGTCGTTGAAAGTACGTGTCTTTGGATATCCAGGTACCGCAAGCGCCTTCCTACTGCAAGTATCGACATCCCCTGAGCAGTGCTTGCATTTAGGGGTTCTTACTTCTCTTCTAAATAACGTGTCCCTGAATGTCGGTCTGGCGGCTCCGTGCTCACCATCGCCGCCCCCGTCGCCGCCTCGTCGCCTCCCCTCGTCTGGGCCTGATTGTCGATCTGGCAGCTCCGTGCCGCCGGGGTTTGCACAACATGAATTGCACGGTAGTTTGCACAACGCCACATCAGTTGCACCGCATACATAGCATCACGTCGATTGCGCCACACAGATTGTACCACCTATATTGCACAATTCATATTGCACCACACAGATTGAACTACGCCAACTCCACCACATAGATTCATAACATCGATTGTACCACATCGTTCGCACCGCCTAGATTGCACCACATATACTGCTTCACGAGGATTGGATGACATAGGTTGCGCAACATATATTTCATCGCATAGGGTGCGCCACGCCGATAGCACCGCAAATATTGCATCACGTGGGTTGCACCGCACAACTCCCTCTTCCCATACATTGCCCCACACACTTTGCACCACATATATTGCATGACATAGGCAACACAACCGTTTTTGCTACCACCAATGATGCCTCCATAGTTTGCATCACTTATCTTGTCCCGCAAACATTGCAAAACGTTCATTGCATACCATAAATTACATTATGTATGTGTATACATATAGGGTTTCCCCTCTTTAAGAAACATCTCGGATCTACCCCCCCTTCTAAGGGGTTAAAGGTACACCTATTCGTTTTGCAATTTACATATGGTTCTGCCCGATCGCCCATCCTGAATATGGGTCCATACCTTCCCAGCCCGACAAGAGTTCGCCCCCCCCCCCCCTCCCACATCATTTGCAACAAATGCTATGCGCACGCCTTCGTGTATAAGAAGTCAGCAGCTGTCAACCATCTCTTTGGATGAGGAGGAGGAGGATGTGGAGGAGGAGGAGGAGGAGGAGGAGGAGTTGGAGGAGGAGGAGTTGGAGGAGGAGGAGGAGGAGGAGGAGGAGGTGGAGGAGCAGGAGGAGAGGGAAGGGACGCTTGCGACAGCTCATGGGCTCTGGTCCCATATTGCTGCTGCAGCCAACAAGGAGGCTGGTATGTTTGACTACCTTCCGGGGAGGAGGAGGAGGAGGAGGAGGAGGAGGAGGAGGATACCGACGTGCAAGGGGATTCGTCGGGGCATGTGGGGAGGGCAGAGGGGGGGACAGACCAGCAGCGTCTTGCGGAGGAGGATAAGGAGAAGGAGGGGAAGAGACGATCAGAGATCCGGGGAGCAGGAGGATGATGATAATCCAGATGTCCACGTCATGGTGATGTTGGCAACGTGGACTCCACATGTCTAGACGCCATCTACGACCCCGCCTTTTCATCTAGTTTCAATGTTCGACGGTCCTGGGAACCAGTGGAGGCCGTGGAGACCGACAACGGACAAAAGCCTTCCGTCGTGATCGTGCACGACGAACTGGGCAGTCCAGCGGAGGAGAGGGGGTAGAAGGAAGCGGCACCCATTGGAGACGGATGCGGAGGAGGAGGAATGATGCGCATGGCGAGACGCTGACTGCCAGCGGCCGGTGGTGGTCACGGCTCGAAGGACGGGGTCCCCAGAGGTCTCTTCCGAAGGTCCGAACCCTCTTCCCACCTGCCATCGATTCAGGAGAGTCGATGGTTGGTGGGGGTAGAGTTCGAATGTCGCCACATAGCTCCTCCTCCTCCCCCTCCTCCTTCTTTGCCCCCCTCCTTTTCCTCCTCCTCCTCCTTCTCCTCCTCGTCAGCGCCCTTTCTGGTCAGGATCACGCTCGACGAGATCCAGCAGAAGGTGAATGACCCAGCAGCCGCCAAGGACGCTTGGGAGGGAGTGGCCTTGCTCCGCTCGCTCAGTTAAGGCAGGTTCGCGTCGTGTCGACGCGGAGGCGACCCCGCCACGAGCGTCAAACACACATAATCGCCGATTCCCAGGCACATATGTGAAAATGTGGGCAGTGGGGGGGAAGACGGACGTCAAACAAAACAGATAGAACATACGGGGAATTTGGGGGAGTTGTGTGTATTCGTTTGTGTGTCCCTGGGCCCCTTCAGTATCGGAGGGGGGAGATGCGACACCAGCACCACCAGGGGGCCCCACCTCCAGCGAGGAGGTCCACGATGCCTCCCCGAGCTGGAGGCTGGGGACGTCTCGAGCGAGAGGGGGGGGGGACCGCACCACCAGGGAGACCCCCCCCCCTTTGCTCCTCGCACCTCCTCGCCCTGTTGGTGCTGGTGTCGCCCTTCCTCGCTCCTATCCGTGTCACGAGCCCGTCCCACGTGGCCCGCCCGCGAAAGACCTGGCACGGCCCGCCCCGCCCTGCTCTCGGAGCGGGCCGACGGCTCGAGAAGCGCCGCCCTCGTCGTCGTCGTCGTCGTCGTCGTCGTCGTCTTCGTCGTCGTCGTCGTCGTCGTCGTCGTTGTCGTCGTCGTGGTCGTCGTCGTCGTCGTCGTCGTCGCCGTCGTCGTCGTCGTCGGACTCCTGGCCGCCCGGCGCGCGGGCGGGGGCGTGCTGCGCCCAGGGGCGGAGGGCCGGGCGCGCCGGACCGATCTGGCGCACTTCCCTCGATGGGTCGGGGGTGGACAGACCTCCTACCCTGACGCGTCGATTTTGGGGAACGGGTCGGGACTTCCAGGGGCGCCGTCCTGGAAAGATCAGGACTTCGTTGTCCACCGCCGATTTGGGTCAAGCAGTGGCGAAGGTTCCCACGAGATGTTCTGAGAACATTTCTGGCATGGGCTGTCTTGCTTTAGCACATCGGGCCTATATTATGAGGACATTGTTTTTGTTATTGGAACATTTGTGGGTTCTAAGAACATGTCGTGGTAGGACTATAGGAATGTCGGGACGTTCGGACCCTGCTCAATTTTCGGCGCGAAGTAGTCGACTACACGTAAGCCCAGAAATGATCGCGTTGTTTACAAGAAGTCAGGACGGGAGGGTTCTGGGCCATGCCTGACCCATGGATGGGGTCCCTCGCCGGGCCTCGGGGCCGTCCAAAAACGGCTCGAGAGGAAAATCAAACCGGTCCCAGGGAAAGGGTCGGGACTTCCAGGGGCGCCGTCCTGAAAAAATCAGGACGTCGCATTTTTGGGAGAGTGACCCTTCACCGCAGTGACCTCTGGTGCGGGCTCACAGGGGTCCCCCTGATCGCTGAGCGCGACGCGATGGTGGCTGCCTGTGCGCTCGGATTTGGCCGCCTTGCGCCCCCTCAATCCGCGCTCTAAATTCGGATGTTGACAGACCTCCTTCCCTGACACGTCGAGTCAGGAGTTGGCCGTGTGCGGTTCGCGAGGGGTGCGTCGCGGCCGTCGTTTTTGCGGGTCAGGTCCGTCGGTCTGGGCCCCAGGCCGTTTTCTTTGAGGTGAGGTTTGCTAAAGGGAGGCTTGTCCACCGCCGATCGATAAAGGTCACTCTTGCCCAGGGTCACCCTTGCGTGTAGCGCCTCTTGCACGCGTCGTGGCCCCATATGGAGCTCCTCCGAAGGCCCCAGTGGGAGGGTCCGCGTGTCGCCACCGCACCCATCTCGGCACAGTCCTCACACGCTTCGTGGCCCCGTAGGAGTGGCCTTATGGGGAGTTCCACCGAAGACCGCAAGTTGCATGGCGCCACCGCACCCATCTCGTCCGCATGGCGCCACCGCACCCACCTTGACACAGCACTCACCGTTTCTTGGTCCCCCTCCTTCGTCTCACTTGCGTTTCGAGGCTCGCAGCTGCAAATGGTAGGGCCCTTCGCCTTGACTTTTTTTGAGGGGGTGCACGGGCAGAGGATGCTGGGAACTTCCGGAGGCGTTGGGAGCCCTGGACCGTCTCTAACCGGCAGATGCTTCGCGTGAGATATCCTCACAAGTGACTCGGGAATCGTGATCTCGCCCCAGTGCCGGCTACATTCTTGGTCCAGACGGCCACGATCCCTTCCCGCGAAATGCACTGAGGTGCACATGGCCGTGATCACCGTGAATGCTGTCAGGGTGTGCGTGTGGGGTAAGTCATGGCCAGCTCGTGCCGTAATCACAGGAAAAGGATCACGTCCAGGTCCCGCGGGTGACGCCAGGCAGCCCCAGGTGCCATGGGTTTGCGATGGTTCAGAGCACCGGCCGAGGAAGGATGCGCGGAAGCAGGGGAAGGATTAGGATTAGGAGGATGAAGAAGCAGCAGAAGCAGCTTCTTCGGTTTGTCAGATCGAGTAGTCCGATTGTTTCATTGCTTCAGCATTGCAGGGCGATGCATCCGTCGAAGGGGTGGAGGCGGGGGGTGTGGGAGGCGAGACGGGGGGGCGCAAGCATGAATGAACAGAAGTGGCAGTACTATTGCAGGCGCACGTGAATGGTGCATGCCCCAGTACACACATATTTATATATATATATATGATCAGCCAAGCGTGAATGCCTCCAGTCACTACGCCGCTGTCTGTGTTCCATAGCCTTTGGCTTCAGTTCTTTCTGGGTGTATGCTCGACCCAGACCTTCAAGCCCTGTACGCTGCCGCGATAGCAGGGCTGCCGGGCTGGGCCGCCCTCGTCTGGCAGGCCGTGCGAGGGCCGGAGGAGTCCGCCTCTCCTTGGGGCGGAGGAGGCTACCCAGGGCACGAGGAGGAGTGCCCAGAGGTGGTCTGCCCCAGACCCGAGTGCCCCGAGACTGATTGTCCGATCGTGGAGTGCCCGTCGGTCCCCGACATCAGGGAGGTGTACCCCTTGCTGGAGGACGGCATCTTCGCCATCCTCTTCCTGCCGCTGCTGGTTGCCACAGTCGCGGGAGTGTTGCTCGGGTGCTGGTGTGCCCGGAGGACGCGTGGCCAGAGAGGAGCGAACGGCCAGCACGCCAGCTCGTCCGAGCTGGACGAGAGGCGGCGGCGGCTCGCCGCTGAGCAGGTAGCAGCCGTTCGCGCCCGTCGTGAGACTGGCCGCCACAAGCAGCAGTAGATATGGCAGCCAGGGGAGACTATATCCTTATTAAGTACAATGGGGTCGACGAGGACTTGTATCACGAGACGCTGATCACAGGGGTCAGCCCAGAGGATCCCACTGAGGTCACCCTGTACACCGCCGACCAGGATCACTATCAGTTCAATATTGCGCCTGGGGATGACATCGAAGCGGTGTATTGGATCGGGCTGCCAGGAGGTCGCCCCGCCCATGTGCCAGAGAATCAGATCTATCGTTTCCGACACAACGTGCAGCCCAATGAGCGCCAGAGGCTCTTCGCAGAGGCGCAGGGCATGCTGGGAGCAGCACCAGCACCTCCGCCCGCCCCGCTGGCGGCCCCGATGCGGAACGTGCAGCGGCAGGGCTTAGGCCGGCCCGCCGGGGCGGCCGCCAGACGCGCCGAGCCAGGCCGCGTGTGGGTCTTCGCCGAGGACCACGGCCGCCACCAGAAGGGCGATGGCGTGGAGGAGCTCCCGGCGGGATCAGTGGTCCTGGGCGAGAGGGCGGTCGCCCCCATGGCGGACGGCAGCACGGCGTTCTTGCAGATGATCCCCCAGGACGGCATCGATGAGTTCAAGATGGACGACCTCCGGGTGATGCCCGTGAAGTTCGATGGCATGGGGAGGCGCAGGAGGCTCTTCCAGGATGGCGTCGCCAGCTTCGTGCCCGACGAGCCCGAGGGAGGCTTAGGGCTGGAGGGCCCCGGCACAGTGTCCTGGAGGTGCCAGACCTATGTCGAGAGGTCCCAGACGCCCGTGTCTCAGCATGCGTCGTGGAGGGCGACATCTGGAGTGTCGAGCGGGGACCGCAGCGTCTTCGAGCATGAGGTGCTCTCCGAGGTGCTCGAGAGTATGGTGTGCACAGACCAGCTGCACGCCCCCGCGCTGCGCAGTGCGGAGCTCGCGTGCAGGAGGCTCCAGCTGATCGAGAGCGCCCACTCCCTGAGCCCGTCGGCCCCCGACTACTCGGCCGCCGACCAGCACATGGGATGGGGCCGCCGCCGACAGGGCATGATGGTGGCCCCGCTGCTCCAGCAACACGTGGCGACCGCCCTCCGCGATGAGCACCAGGTGGCCAAGGAGCAGAGGAAGGCTCGTGAGGAGCGCCGCCTGGGCCGCCAGAATCACAAGAACAACAAGGACAAGACCTCAGAGGGACAGGGGTGATGCGGCCCCCTCCGAGGGGCGACGGACCTAGCCCCTCGGCAGTGACTCACCCAGGAGGTCCACAACTTTTTGATAGAGCTCGGCCACGAGATCTCTTTCCGCTCCCTCACGTCGATGAGCAGTCGGCTACTGAGGGTCATCCCTCACGCTCGGTGCGAAGACGCCTGGCGAGGAGGAGGTTTTTGGACAGGGCTACCAACTCTGTCATCAGCTCCTTGAATGAGATGCAGGGCTGCGCCGGGGTGCACGACGGTACCCCCGCGATGGGCCAGATGCTGTCTCAGGATGCGATACGCTGTGACGTCGCGTCCACTCCGCCATCCCAAACCTTGTACACCAGACACGGGGCCGTCCGCGAGCTCTTGTCAGGCATCGTTGACTATGCAGGCAGCGATTGCAGCACCACGGTTCGTCCCTATCGGCGGGATCAGGTTTCTCTTCCAGATCCCGGGAGGCCCTCGGCGGATCTACTGTCTACCCTCCCGGAGCCTGACCAGGATTTGCTGAAGTCATGGGATACTCATATGCTTGCTGACCCTGCTGACGTGGGGTTCTATCGAGAGTCGGGACATCAGTTTAGGTTGTACTTCGACGAGATTTTTAAAGCGCAGCGAGGAGTCTACGTTGAGTTTTTGAGAGACCTTAGCGACGCCAAGATGATTGGATGGACAGAGAAGCCTCTGAGCCTGGTGACCCCTTTCTTCGTAGTAAAGAAGCACGACAGGTTACGACTCATCATGGATTGCCGAAACACGAACCTCCTCTTCCGAGCACCCCCTGCCCCTGAGATGGGCACGGCTGCAGCTTGGGGCAACCTGGAGCGTCCCGAGGCTCGTCCTGGAACCGAGGCCGGCGGAGCTGACGACAGCGGAAGCGGCGGAAGCAAGCTCTGGGTAGCCCAGGCGGACGTGAAGGATTGTTTCCACTGCGTTCGCAACCTTCCAGAGCTGTGCCCGTATTTTTGCATGCCGCCGATCACGGAGGGAGAGAGGGCCGACGCTGGTATTGTTGGCCCTAGTGGCCTTGGGGATCTGGCACGTGAAGTATCGGTTTACCCTATGCTGTTGACTCTTCCAATGGGGTTCTCCTGGGCTTTCTATTTCGTCCAGCGTCTCGTGGAACACCAGTGCAGAGTTTCCTTGGCTGGGGCTGGCTTGGCTTTCAAGTTCCTGAGAGACCAGGCCCCTGCTCCGGATCTTGGGACCCAGCTGGCCGTTCTACCCTATTGCGACAACATCAATGTGGCTGGCATCAGGAGGGAGGAGGTGAAGGAGGCTAAGGATGTGATCGTTCGGAGGCTTCGTTTCGTGCAGTTCACTGTCCATGAGGAGACCGAGCCCGAGACCCTGTCGTACTCGCTGGGTCGCGTTATCGATGGGGAGTCCTGGGTGGTTCGTAATCGGTCTGAACGAGGGGAACGTCTTCGCAAGGTTTGTGAGGCTCTTGAGGGGGGTCAACCAGTGACGGGTAGGCAGATGAAGCAGTACCTTGGCCACGTGGTCGATTTCTTTCTGATTAGACGGGAGGTCCTCTCGGTGCTCAGAGCCTGCTACGATTTTGCGCAGGCGGCAGAGAAGAAGCCCCAGAGTTTGTGGGCTTCTGCACGGCGCGAAGTTCGCTGGATACGTTCTCTAACTTTCATTTGCCTCGCTCGTTTGGACAGGCCGTGGCACGATACAGTTGCGTCGACTGATGCGTGCGAGTCTGGTGCAGGGATTGCTGTGCGCCAGGCTGACCCCTCAGAAGTAGCGTCCATCGGCCGAGTCCGTGAGAGATGGAGATATCGCTCTCGTCACCCCCTTCACTGTCGCCCTCGTCTGCATGCCCTAGGTGGGGACCCTCTTCACGATGTGGGCACGGTCTTACCAGTAACCCGACAGGCCCTAGGGGAGGCTCCTGAGGACCTGGAGGTCAACCCAGGGTTCGACGAGATCCCAGAGGCCTTCATGGACCCCGACAAGTGGCACGAGGTGTTTGCTATGCGTTTCAGGAAGGAGGAGGCTATACCTATTCTGGAAGGTCGGGCGTCTCTGTTGGGGATACAGCACTATATGAGGTCGTCTCGGTCTTTTGGTAAGCGTCTTCTACTCGTGGGGGACCAGCTGGGGAACACTCTTGCTATTGGGCGTTCTCGGGCATCATCGTACGACCTGCTCATCATCATCAGGCGTATTGCTACCTACATGTTGGCTACTGGCTCGAGTCTATCTGCACGATGGACCCCCTCCGAGCTCAATGAGGTTGCCGATCGATCCTCCAGACGATGGGAGAGTGACGTCAGGGCTCCGAAGGGCCGCAGCGGCTCGGGCGCCCACCCGCCGCGCCAAGGGCAAGAAGACAGCTCTGGCGCGTCACGGGGAGGGCGTGACCTCACGGCTCCAGCGGCACCACCGGGGTTCCACCCCAGCGAGGCCTGTGGGCTCGACGCCGCTGCGCCTCCAACGCCAGGGAGCTGTGGAGCGCATCTCGGGTCCCTCGAGAGACATCCGTCGAGAGAGGCGCCAGAGCATCTTCGGGGCCTTCGAGCGTCTTGCCCTGTCGGGCCAGCATTCCATTCTCGAACGTCACTCGATTACGGCACCCACGGAGGGCCTGTACACAGCCTGGTGGGAGGAGCTCCAGGATTTTGTGGCCATGAACGGCTACACCTTGGACAGCGTGAGGAATGCCGACATTGCGCTGGTGGACTTCGCGGACTACTTGTTTCTCGAAGGGTTCGAGCGGCCCGACCTCATGAAGATGTACGCCGCGGCCGCCTGGCACCTGGCCGGCCTGTCCCCCATCGGGAAGCTGCGTTTTCCGCGGTTCTCCCGTGCCGCTCGGGGGCTGGGCCTGCTGGCCCCAGCGCAGACCGTGCCGCCCGTCCCGTTCGAGCTGGTGTGCTGGATCGCCTGGCACATATACCTCCGCCTCCAGGACTGGACCATCCCGCTCTGCCTGCTGACCATGTTCGTCTGCTACTTCAGGCCCGTGGACGTCCACAGCCTGAGGGAGGAGGACCTGGTGCCGCCAGGAGGCTCGAGCACTCACTGGGTGCTCAACGTGCACCCGGCCCGCCGCGGGGAGACGTCAAAGGTGGGGGTGTCCGACGAGGCGCTGCTCCTCGACTCTCCGTACCTCCCAGGTCTGGGCCCCGCGCTGCATCGGCGACTTCGAGGCCATCGGCTGGCCAAGTTGTTCGAGGTCAGCGAGAGGGAGCTCAGCACACAGTGGGGCCGCTCGCAGGAGCAGCTCGGGTTGCTTCCCTCCCAGCGGTATCGCCTGTGCCAGATCCGCCACGCGGGGCCATCCCACGACATCCTCATGGGGGTCCGCACGCTCCTCGACGTCAAGCGCCGAGGGAGGTGGAGCTCGGACGCGACCGTCAAGCGGTACGAGGCGGCGGGGCTGGTGCAGCAGGAGTGGGCCAAGCTGTCGACGGCGCAACAGGCCGCCGCGTCTCGCGCGGCCGTGTGGATGCAGTCTCAGGTGGGTATGTTCTCCGCCCCCAGCCCGGGCGGGCGCGGCGCTGGAGGACGCCGTGGCTCCTCCAAGAGCTGTACTGCGGCACGCACGGGATCCTCGACAGCGCGGGCCGCCAGGGCATCGGCGGCGTCGGCTGGGACACGGAAATCAGTTCAAAGGCCGACCTCTCGAGTGCGGCCGTCATCAGGAGTATCGCCCGCGACTTCCAAACGGGCAAGAACCGCTTCGAGCTGAGTGGGGTGTTCGCAGCTCTCTGGGTCGGTATCGTGTGCTCGACCTGGACTCGTATTCGCGACCGTCCTCCTCTTCCCCGATTGCGTGATGATGACAAGTTTTTGTTGGGGTATCCGCAGTATGAGCGAGATTGTGACAGGGAAGCTGTGCAGTTGGGAAATCTCATGGTAGAGCTGTTGGTGAAGTTGCTTTCTGAACTTTTACCTAAGAGAATCGTTGTGGTCATAGAGAACCCACTGACATCCAGGCTCTGGCTTCATCCTGGTATCCTTCAGTTGCGAGCTGATTTTTCTGACCACCAAGACGTGTTGCTGGATCAGTGTGCCTACGGCACTCCTTGGAAAAAGCCCACGAGGCTGCTGGTATGGCACTGCCCTGCGCTGAGAACGCTAGGCAAACGTTGTACAGGCACCAGAGGAGTTTGCGCCTTTTCTCAGCAGCCTCATGCGTCTCTGACCGGCAAGGTTCACGGAGTTTGGCGCACCAAGAAAACCCAGCAGTATCCGCAGCGTTTTTGTGCAGCTTTTTCTCGGTGCTTGGCTGAGCACCTCAGTCGCAGTCCGCCTTTTGCGTCCCCCACCCACCCATCCCTGTTCTCCGTGCCCTGCCAGAACACTACATGATAGCGGATTCGGGAGACATTGATTATTGAATAATCTTGCTCTGTGCGCTGATTTGTTTTGTTGAAGTGCTGCCGGCATTGATCTCGGCCAGCTGCGAGCCTCGCCCAACCGACAGCTGCCAATAGACAATGTTTCTAACTTCTGGCGGAGACACAAACAGGCATGATCAGCCAAGCGTGAATGCCTCCAGTCACTACGCCGCTGTCTGTGTTCCATAGCCTTTGGCTTCAGTTCTTTCTGGGCCCACCGTCCACCCCAACGCCTCCTGGGAGACATTGATTATTGAATAATCTTGCTCTGTGCGCTGATTTGTTTTGTTGAAGTGCTGCCGGCATTGATCTCGGCCAGCTGCGAGCCTCGCCCAACCGACAGCTGCCAATAGACAATGTTTCTAACTTCTGGCGGAGACACAAACAGGCATATATATATATATATATATATATATATATATATATGCATGAAGTGCACGCGCACCTACATCTACAAGCGCACATGTAGACCGCATTCCATGCACCCACCCCGCACGGGATGGCTAAGGAGGGAGCGAGACGCCCTGAATGGAAGGACGCCAAGAGGACTTGCAGACAGGTCATGCCTGTGTGACCAACGCCTCAAAGAGTAGCAGAACGAGGAGCAGGAGGAAGGAGAACAGAACCTCCCCATCTCCCACTACCACCACCAGCCCGGCTCCCCCCCCCACCTCCCACCCCCCGAGCAGAAGACACCAGCCACAGACACAGCAATCGCAGCACCAGCATGTCTCTTCCTGTGGCTACCCTTGACGATGCTCACGCCCGAGACACCAGCAGACTCCCCGCCCGCAGGGTTTGCACCACCTGGCGCCGCGTTCTCGCGCCAGGAGGCGCGGTCGGGGCCCCGAGTGCTCCGGGCGCCGGGGGGGGCCAGGATGCCTGCGAGCTGCCGAGGGCCATCCGTCAACAGATTCCTCGCCTGCAGCTGTCTATGGGGGTCTGAGGTGGCCCGGCACCGGTGCTGGCCAGCAGGAAGGGTGGGCTGGTCCGCGGGTTTAGGGTTCGGGAGGTTCTCGTGTTCTTGCGGCCTCAGTGGGCCGCTTCCGCCCGGAGATCGCGAAGAAGAGATCCTGGGTGAAACACCGCAACAGATGGAGCCGGGAGGGGTCCGGGGACTGACTTTGACAAGATTTGGCTGCATCCCCCCCTCTGACCGATGCCCAACCAGTTCAGACTCCCCGGCCGCCTAGAGTCAATTGTGACTCTGCGAGCGCGAGTCAGCGTCATTTTGCGGGAGACCATCCCCCGTGGCACAAGGAGCCACTCTACATGTCGCCATGGGCGACCAGTTGCTTCAAAGTTGTTCAGATACTTGAGGCGGTGGAGGCTCACGAGGGGGTGGCTGAAGAGATCTAGTCTGAGACAGCATATCCCCTTAAGCGTGGAACAAATCAGAATGTTCGAGACATATCGTCTGACCAGCACTTGGAAGGAACGCGCCTGGGATGCTGAGCGAATACATGTTCCACATCGCACACAATAAGTTGTGTGTAGGCATGCTTACAGACAGATGTGCGCGCCGTCTGAATGCGCATGTCCATTTATTCACTTGCTCGAGGGCATGCATACAATCGTGCGGGCGTACAGGGAGGGGCGAACGATCAAGTCCAGTAGAGGGCACCTCATCAGGAATGGAAGTCGATTAACGTCTCTGCCGACGAAGCCACGTACTTGTTCGACCTGCTGGACATAGACCAGTCTGGCGATGTGTACTTCGAGGAGCCGTGGGGAGCGGCCACTGCCACCCGTGTCTGTGAGGCACCAGTGTGCTTTTGCATGCGGCTCCCCCCTCCCTCCCGTAGGAAGGACCCTGCCGCCGGCCCCCTCTCTCCTCCCTGGGCCATGGAAGAGCTAAGTCGGAGGCCTTGGCGCTGTCGTGAAGCAAAACGAAACTTCAGACGAAAACGATTTGCGTCCGCAAAACCAACTGATCACAAGAGGGGGGCTGGCGGCGCCTCGGGCCGACCTGGCGGTTCCGCGCGCCAGGGAGGGGGGTCCAAGAAATCCGCGCGGAGAGCCAAAAGTGTATGATTGTACCGTTGCTTCTTCTTTTTCTACTAGGTGGCCGCAGATCCCAGAAACCCGTGCCGAGCGCCAAGAAGTGATGTTTATGGCGTTGTTTCGGATCCATAGGTGTTCGATCATGGACCCCGTGTGCAAAACGCAGCCGTCCAGCTTTCCCGCCGAAGACCGCTGGAGACCGCCAAAAGACCGTCAGAAGACGCTCGGAAGATCGCCCGAAGACCGCCGAAGACGGCCCAGGAGCGATGGGTAGCAAGGACGCGGTCGAACAGGTAGGCTACCGCGCCCGCTCACGCGCTGGAGGTCGAGTGCGACGCTCGTCACTGCCCACCAATCCACCCCAACCCAGGCCGAAGGCCCCAACCTGCCCTCCATTCGCAGTGGGGGGGATCTCGGATTTTACTTGATTGCTTCGTTTTAAAAAGAATAAAACGGAAAACCTATAATATACAAATAAAACAACGATGAGACCTGTAAGCACGCCCAGCCCGGAATCTGGACCCTGACCTCGGTGTCTCGAGGTTGGGTGCTAAAAAGTCAATCAACTAGTTACAGTAACCAGCAATAAGCTAGTTACAACCCTGTAACACTGGAAACTACAAGCTACAACTGGTACAGGGCGAACCTCGCTCCTTTGGCCCCGCAAGGGGGCCGGCGGATTTCCAATGTTCCAAGTCCAGGCCAGTCGGGGCGGAGGAGGATGAGGTGGAGGATGGGGATTGGTGGAGAGCAGCAGTTCCCGCGCATACAATAAGGATGATGCGGCTTCTTCTCCGGCATCCTAACCTTCTAGGTGTTCAAGCGTCTGGCATCCTTACCGCAATTGCGCCTGAGAGGACGAGACCCAAAGTGGTTTTTGTATTTTTGCCATTCGGGTCCCAGGCGCTCAATGGGTCCGCATCGAACGCGTACGAGAACAAGGTTTAGGACGAAGACGGGACGTTGTTGCTGATGGTTTGTTCGTGCCGCGGCTGGTGCTGCTGCTGCTGGTGCCGGTGCTGCTGCTGGTGCGGTTGCTGCTGCTGCTGGTTCTGGTGGTGGTGGTGGTGGCGGTGTTACCGCTGTTGATGTTGGTGGTGGAGGTGGTGGTGTTGGTGGTGTTGGTACTTGTGTTGCTGGGGCTACTGGTGCTGTTACTTCTGGTGCTGCTGCTGCTGCTGGTGCTGCTGCTGGTGGCTGCTGGTGCTGATGCTGCTGCTGATGCTGCTGCTGGTGCCGCTGCTGCTTGTGGCACTGATGGCATGTGTTGCTGATGACACTGGTGGTGGTGGTGCTGCTGCTGCTGCTGCCGCTGCTGGTGCTGATGCCCCCTCGGGGTCCTCTTTGGGTCCTCGTGGGGCCGTTTGCCAGGTCTTGGGTGTTGAGCCCTCTTTGGGCCTCTTGGGGGCCCTTGATGGCATCTTGGGGACATTTTGGAGAGCATCGGTCAAATGAGGAGGGGTCGATATCGCCCCCCCCACCCTCAGGAGTCCTCCATGGAATCACCATCGGGCTTTTTGGGGGGCCTTGGGGCCGTCTTGGGACCATCTTAGGACCCTCTGGGAGACCTATTGGGGCTCTCTTGGGGCTCTCTTGGGAGCCTTGGAGCGCCTCTTGGGGTCATCGTCGAGGCTATCGATCACAGGAGGAGAGGTCCCGATCTAGCCCCCCCCCCCCCTGGGGCCCTCCAAACCGCCTCGTGGAGCCCTCTTGGACATCTCTTGGAGCCATCTTGGGCGCTCTCGAGGCAGTCTTGGGGGCTTTGGGGGTCCCCTTGGGGCCTGTTTGAGCCATCTTGGGGCCACACTGAGGCCTCAAACGCGCATCGGATGAGAAACGGCGAGAAATTACAAATCATAGTTTTCCTTCGGTTTTGAAGGATTTTAGTCTCTTGGAGGGGTCCTGACTGGTCTCCAAGATCACCTGGAACCGTCTTGTGGCCCTCTCGGGGCTTGGAGGCATGTCGGAAGCTGGCCCATCTTCCTGTGGAGGCCCACCCTATTTTGGAGCCATCACCGGACCCCCTGACACCTCGCGACAGCCGCCGAAAAAGACCAGGGAGGGGAGGGGCAGGGCACCCCTCCCCGAAGGGAAGTGGCTTTTCTTTGGAAGAGGAAAGAAAGATCTCGTTAGACCACCTACGCCCAGACGGCTGGTGAGATTATTGGGCAGACCGTGTTCGTTCCGAGAAGGTTTCCACAACGCCCTTCTATGGATCGCTCAACCCACTTGCCTGGCGCATGCCATTAAGTCGCAGATTCCACCATGATTTGAAACGCTGGTCAGTCTAAGGCATGGCATAATTACCTGCCGATTCTGCCCCAGGAAATTCGGGCATCACCATTATCGGAGACGCTTACGGCGAACCACTGCCGCCCCCTGCCTTTTGCAAACGCCCATGCGGCCAAACGTTGGGCCTGAGTCTGGCCAAGCTGTTGGATGATGTGTTCATCCAGCCGTTGTGGAACCCCACTGGGGGAACACACTCGAGAGAGAGAAAGAGAGAGAGAGAGAGCGAGAGACAACAAAAAACATAAACAACAGCAAGATGGGGGAGAGGGCAGAGAAGGAGGACGAGAAGGGAGATGATAAGGAGGTCTGTTGAGGCCGTTTAGGGCATCCCCTGCTTCCTCGGAGCCTCTTGCGAGCCTCGGTGCTCTTGGGGGCCTTCGGAGCCTCTTGGTGGCCTCTTGTGGGCCTCGTGAGGGCCTCTAGGGGCTTCTTCGGGACCTCGTGGCATTCGGAGGCCGTCTTGGGGGCCTCTCTGGGGAGTCGTGGGTCCCTCTTTGCGCTCTTTTGAGCCGTCTTGGAGGTTTTTGTGGCCGTCTTACGGCCGTCTGACGGGCCTCGTGGACGGTCTCGGGGCTCTTTCGGTCCGTCTTGCGGGCTTGTTGGAGGCTTCTTGGGCAGTCTTGGGGTGATCGTTGGGCCTGAGAGGCTGCCTCGGAGCGTCGGAAACCCGAGAAGGCGCACACGTCTGAATCATTGAAAAGCACACAGAACTCAATGATTGCAGCCTCCTGGAATTATTCGTGGAGCCCTCTCGGGGCGTCTTGGAAGCCTCTTGGGCCCACTGGAGGGCATCTTGGGCCGTCTTGGAGCCATGTTGGGCCAAACCGGGGGGCGTTAACCGACCGCCGCACCCGATCTTCAGGCCCAGGATCGGTGTATACGACCTCCTGGCTTGGCCAGTGAAGCGTAGCCACTTGATCCTGGGCCCAGGACGGGCCGAGCCTGGGTCGGCGAGGTGACCGGCTGACGGCGGGGGGCGCGGGGGAGGCCGTTGCCAGGGTCCTGCTCCGATGCCTCCCCCCGCCATCCGCGCGCGCGCCGTCGCGCGCACACGCCTACATCCCAGGCCAGCCACAACTGGGGGAGCTGTGGTCCTTACCCCCCTGGGGGACCCATCGATTTCGACACCCCTCTCGAGAGATCGTCGAGGCGATGGGTCCCCCCAGGGGGGTAAGGACCACACCTCCCCCAGTTATGGCTGGTCTGCATCCGTTCTAGAAGAAATTGAGGCTCCGCACGGATTTCAAAGCCGAGCGCCCCGAAGCACCTCAAGAACAAACGGTTTCGCAAGCGGAATCGCCGCGCAAGTTCTTGCGCTCGCGCTCGTGCGAATTCTGAACCATAGATTTTTCAACATGTTCATGAAATGCTGCCACGAGAGCCTCTCGCGCGCGCGCGTCGACATCATCCGGACGCCCTCGCGCGCGCGCGCGTCATCGCGCTCGCGTTCCGGAATCGCCAGAAAAACCTTCGGGTTTCGCGTAATCGAGTGCACCGAAAAACATTGTGAACAACACAAGGCGCTGCAAAATTTGGTTTCAAAAAAGGTTCGCGCGCGCTCCTGCGAATTCTTAGGAACGCAAAATGGTACCTCCAACCAACCTGCGTTGTTGGGTCCTCGTTTTTAAGAGAGCACCCCGCGTTCCGTCATTCCTCCTTCCTCCTCCACCTCTCCTCTTCCCCCTCCCCCTCCCCCCTCCTCCCATCATCGTCATCACCATCATCACCGTCATCGTCATCGTCATCGTCATCGTCATCATCATCATCATCATCATCATCATCATCATCATCATCATCATCATCACCATCACCATCACCATCACCATCACCGTCACCGTCACCGTCATCACCGTCATCACCGTCATCACCGTCATCGTCATCATTATCAACGTCATCGCCCATTGCAAACCTCTCACACGCTTCGTGGCTCCATAGGGAACTCTACCGAAGGCGCCAGCGGCAGGGTTCGCATGGCGTTTTGCCACACAGTTTACACATTTAGCTCCCCCATAGGGAGCTCCAACGAAGGCCCCATCGGCGGCACCCACATGCGCCCTCGCCACTCGTTTCGGCACACCCATCACGCGCTTCGTGGCCCCATATGGGAGTTCCACCAAAGGCCCTATCGGCGGTGCACACATGCGCCCCCCTGCCACTTTCCGGCACGCTCCTCACACGCTTCGTAGCCCCATAGCAAGGATCGACCGTGCCCGCAGCGACCGGCAGACTGAAGGGGGGCCCCGGCTTGAAGCTACCCCCCTCATCCCTCGCTTGCCAAAGGGGAGTGGGTCGGAAGCCCCCCCTCTTCCTTCTTCGGAGCCGGACGGGGAGCAGTCGTTTGCGCACTGTGGACAGCGAACACGCAGCGTACCCTGCCCCCTGGATGGAGGGCGCCCAAGTCCGACCCGAAACTACACACGCCCGCGGATATCATCAAC